CGGAAAGGCCTAGAAGGCCTGGGAAATCCCACGCTGCTCGGCCTGTGTTTTCCTCCAACCAACTGGCGCGACGAAACTGCCTGGACCCCAAATACGAAATTGACAGCCAAGGGCCTCTCGTAATTTCTTAGGCCCGCCTTCACTTAGGGCGGGTACATTTGCTGCAGGGGCCCCTTAGGCCTGCCGAGGACCCAGATCCTCGCAAATAGAACGCCCCTTCGAATAGAACGCCCGGGCGCCCGGGTGTTATATTTGAATGTTCCATGCGCAGAGTGCCTTGAAGAGGTAGTATACATGAGTTTTAAAGGGCAGGGAAGGGGTATACATGGGTTTTGAAGAGAGTTGAATGGGGTTTCGACTTCCAAGGGGTATATTTTGGCTTTAGTTTTCGATTTTATTTTGTATTTCCGAGTTTATACGGAACAAGTAAACGCGCTGCGGCTACGCTGCGGCAGGGGAAACGCACGTGATTGAAGAAGTGAGTTTTCCACCACAAATGAGAATGAACACAGAAATGTATGAAGTTTTGACACTTCGAGTCTCTCTCTCTCTCTCTCTCTCTCTCTCTCTCTCTCACACACACACACACACACACACACTCACACACACACACACGCACACGCACACACACACATGCGGGCGCGTGTAGTAGTGTATATTTCGATGTTATAGTGGAAGATTCATTCGATTTTGCTCATCCTGTCGATGGAAGTAGCGTGAGGATGCTCCCTCTCTCTCTCTCTCTCTCTCTCTCTCTCTCACCCAAAAAAAAGAAAAGAAAAAAATCGTTCGATTTTGCTCATTCGATCGATCGAACTACCCTCTCAGAGAGAGGGGGAGAGAGAGAGAGAGAGAGAGAGAGAGAGAGAGAGAGAGAGAGAGAGAGAGAGAGAGAGAGCAAATAAGTCTCCACTACTTCCATCGATAGGACGAGCAAAATCGAATGAATCTTCCGCTAGAACATAAAAATATGCACTACCTGGTTGAATATGGCCCACACCTGCCGGACAACACTTTCGATTGTGATCGATGGAAGTGCTCTCTCTCTCTCTCTCTCTCTCTCTCTCTCTCACACACACACACACACACACACACACACACACACACACACNCTCTCTCTCTCTCTCTCTCTCTCTCACACACACACACACACACACACACACACACACACACCCACACACACACCCACACACACACATTCCATCGATAGGATGAGCAATTTCGGAATGAATCTTCCGCTGAAACGTGGAAATATACACTGACACTTTTCGAGCAGATGTGTGTGTGTGTGTGTGTGTGTGTGTGTGTGTGTGTGTGTGAGAGAGAGAGAGAGAGAGAGAGAGAGAGAGAGCTGATAAGTCTCCAACCTCGCAGCTCGCGTCATGCTACTTCCATCGATAGGATGAGCAACATCCAATGAATCTTTGGCTAGAACATGCAAATATACACTACCTGGTTGAACATGGCACACCTTCGACGGCGCGGCGCGTAAAAAACCCATAGCGAAAAAAGACCAAAAAAAAAAAAGGTTGTAAACAGAAAACCGCGCCGGGCCCACAAAGCCGCGCCAACACCAACCCCCAAAAAAAAAACGGCCGTAATGAAAAATTGCACCGGGCCCACGGTGCACCAGGCCCGCGCGGGAAAAGGTCTCAGCGGGACGCGTCACGCGAGATCCGTTGTTGCCTTTAAGAGTATAGGGAAGGGATAGGGATTCTGAAGTGACCCTCAGCCAAAAGTTGGTCGCATTCCAATCCTGGACAACAATTTTTTTTTCAGATTTTTTTTGTTTTTTTTTTCGGAATTTTGGGGCCTCACCGAAGTTACTACAAATTTACTGAATATAACGCCCGGCGGGAGTTATATTCGTACACAACGCCCGGGCGTTATTTTCGGGTGAAGACGGTAGTATATACTATATAATATATATCAATGCTGTCGTCCCTTGCCGGGAAAAGAAGTTTAAGAAACAAAGAAAACAAGAGCAAAAATTTCAGTATAATATACCTCCGATTCATACGCCCTTTAAAAAAATGCCTTCAGAACTACATTGAAGTTGACACATACGGGTTGGAATTTGGAAATAAGGTCAGACATGGGCTTGATTCAAAGTAAACAAAACTGATCCTAGACCAAAAACGTATGTCCCTGTAGGGCCTGTACTTTTTCTGCGAACCCGGATAGATATCAGGACAGCTTACCCCGACAAGATCGACTAAAAATCTGGCCCGAACAGAGCCCGTCTATGTAGCATCTAGGTGTCGGTCAACTCATCTAGCTCTCGTAACTGGGGCCGGAATCCGCACAAGGGGGCGTGCAGGCGTTAGAACATGTATCCAGCCTTCAACAATAAAATTTTGGCTGAGACGACTGAATCAACTTCATGAAAAGCAAACTCGAACGGCTTATAACTTGTTGACTAAATACAAATTATAACATGGTTCAGACCTCACAGCAATGAGATATGCAACATCCCTCATTGAGTGCAAAATGGCAGACCCGCATACGGCTCTGGAATGGTGGTTCAGCCAACGCAATACAATAAGAGGTATAGCTCAATGGCCTTCTGAGACCTCCCGTGGTTCGCCATAATCTTAGCCACACTATTCTGCCAGTGCCTGTTGTTCCCCCCGCATCATGAATGTGTATACAAGCAAGCTTTCCGGGCCAATGCAGTCATTATGGGAGTGCCTTGTGTTACACCTCTGCGAGAAGTCTACCCGACTGCAGTTTATCCACAGTGGGAGGCAAGAGTCACAAAGGACTGAGCAATGTCGCAGTAGCACATTGGAGCAACAAAAATGGAAAAAAAAGAAATCTGAAAAATGGAAATGGATCAGCAACACAAACCTGTATTGCATGGCCACAGTTTCTCAATACTAGCATTTGAAACTTTCCCTGCATTTGAGCGATTGTCAATGCTCTGCAAAAAAAAAACAAAGGCCATCATCAGCAACTCACAAACCAAGTAGAAACAATAATCAGCAACTAGCATACCAAGTAGAAACAATCATCCCGCTTATAACAGCAAGCAAGTCTTCCTGTTCGTCCTCCTCCCCGTCCTTCTCCTTCCCCTCCTCCCGCTCGTCATCCCGCCCCTCCTCCTCCCGTTCCTCCTCCCATGCAAAATGGAATGCATCTTCCGCCGGAACGTAGGGAGATATGCGGCCATAGTTTTTTGTCTTCCTGTTTGTCCTCCTCCCCGTCCTTCTCCTTCCCTTCCTCCTGCTCGTCATCCTGCCCCCCCCGCTCCGCCTCTCCTGCGAAACGGAAAGAATCTTTCGCTGGAACATGCGGATATGCACGACCATATTTTATTGTCTTCCTGTTCGTCATCCTCCCTGTCCTCTTTTTTCTCCTCCTCCCGCTAGTCATCCTGTCCCTCCTCCTCCCGCTCCTCCTGTGCAAAATCAAATGAATCTTCCGCTGAAACATTGGGAGATACATGGCCATATCTTTTGGTCTCCTGTTCATCCCCCTCCCCGCCCTTCTCTTTTGGTCTCCTGTTCATCCCCTTCCCCGCTCGTCATCCCACACCTACTCCTCCCAGTGCTCCTACTGTGAAAAATGGAATGAATCTTCCGCTGGACCATGGCGAGATACACGGCCATATTATTTTGTCTTCCTGTTCGTCCTCGTCCCCGTCCTCCTCCTTCCCTCCTCCCGCTCGTCATCCCGCCCCTCCACCTCCCATGCAAAATGGAATGAATCTTCCACTGGAACATGGGGAGATCCACAGCCATATTTTCTTGTCTTCCTGTTCGTCCTCATCCTGTCCTCCTTCCCTCCTCCCGCTCGTCATCCCGCCCCTCCACCTCCCGCTCCTCCTCCCACGCAAAATGGAATGAATCTTCCGCTGCAACATGGGGAGATACACAGCCATATTCTTTTGTCTTCCTGTTCGTCCTCCTCCCCGGCCTCCTCCTTTCCCCTCTCCCGCTCATCATCCCGCCCCTCCTCCCATCTGCAATAACCCATGCCATATGTCTCGTGGAACTGAGGGAATCAGAGGGCCTACTTGGTCGCCCTCAGCCCAGGCCGAACAACAGCAGAAAAGGCCCTTCACGAATTCAGGGCCTGGGCGTGCGACAGTTGACTAAAGTCAACTGTCGGTCCACCCAACAGTCAAAGTCCAAAGGTACCTAGCCCAGGCCGCAGGTCAAGCACACACACTTGTTTGTATGCAGGTACCCAGACAGCATCAGGTCCAAGGGAGAAGTCTGCAACTGTACGATCCGGGCCTTCAGCTGTGAGTCAATCTGGACGACTGAGGGGAAAAGCACCGAGGCCAGACAGCCTCGCCTATTGCTACTTAAGGCTGGCCTCGAGAGAGTCATTCATTCAGTCTTGCCATGCTGCTTTGATTCTGGCGCGACTTTGACACCACGCTGGCTTCATGCTGGCTGTGCACGAGCGTTGTGGACGACGGCACGAGTTGGAGGCAGCATGCTGCCTGTTTCGATAGTTGATGTGGCATTGCCCACGTTGTCTACATGAGGTGACTGGTTGCAAGGAAGGAGGAAGATTGGGATCGGTGGTTGAGGGAGAAAGGGTACTCACCTGAGATTGAAGTCGATACTGAATCTGCAATGTCTTCATGGTCTTCATGAGATTGAGTGCCACGTGGCACTTCCGTGTGTGATCAGGATTATACTCATTATCATTGTTGTTGTGAAGAGGGGAGAAGCCCGGAGAAGGAGAGGGTTCAGCAGGGATTATTGTGTGGTAGAATGACATAAACATGATATAATTATAATTAGAATTACATATTTTTTTTTAATTTGAATGAATCAATGAATCATAGATTTTTAAGAAGATTGTTTTCTTCAATATTCTTTATTTTAAATAGATATATTTTTTATTATGAATCAATTGCCTTGGTTAAACAAAAAAAGTTCGAAAACTATAATAAAATTCGAAAAAAATACTGATATCTTAATACTGCCTGATTTTAGAAGAATTCAGTTAGAAAGTTTTCATCGATTCATAGAAAAAGGCTTGCTAGAAGAACTCCAAAAATTTCCAGTAATCCGAGATTCTAGCCTCCACTCTCTTCTATTGATGATAATGATATACTGTTTGATATATTCTTCACGAGTTGGAGACTTTGCTGCAGATACTGACTCCACAGGCGTTCGATGACTTCTGAGTATCTGTCAGACTGGGTTCATTACACATCCCTCCTCCCGTGCAAAATGGAATGAATCTTCCCCTGGAACATGGGGAGATACACAGCCATACGTTTTGTCTTCCTGTTCATCCTCCTCCTTACCCTCCCACTCGTCACCCGCCCCTCCTCCTCCCCTCCTCCACTTGTCATCCCACCCCTCCTCCTCCCGTGCCTCATTCTGTGCAAAATGGAACATTCTGCTGGAACATGGGGAGATACACGGCCATATTTTTGTCTTCCTGTTCTTCGTCCTCCCCGTCCTGCTCCTTCCCCCCGCTCGTCAGCCCGCACCTCGTCTCGCTCCTCGCCACCCTGACGCCCACCCCATTGGCTGTCACTTTGTGATCCTACCCGCACCTGCCGTGCTCCCACCCCACACCTTCTTGCCCATGACCTGTCATGTCGACGTGGCTCCCACAGGCCGACACACAGAGAGAGAGAGAGAGAGAGAGAGAGAGAGAGAGAGAGAGAGAGAGAGAGAGAGAGAGAGAGAGAGAGAGAGAGAGAGAGAGAGAGA